TTTCATTTGTGCCACGCCCCATCTGGCTCACTGGTGCTTGCAAACCTGAGTTCGTGTGGTCGTTAGTTTGACAAGACTGATCCAGGGCGTCCTGGGCAGAAGACAGGAAACGTTGTTTGACTGTTTAATTAAAATATCCGTCTTGGGTTTGTAAGAATTTCAGAACCCACGGAAACACGCGGAAAGACGCGACCATGTGGCCACATCCACATCAGATGCCTTCTCCGAGACAGACAAAGCCATGCGGCCGCCGCCGGCACTGCCCGCAGGCCCTCAGGGCCTCTCCTGCAGGCAGGCCGCACCTGCAGGCAGGCCGCACCCGCAGGCGCTGTCGGCGGGTCTCTGCACCCTGTGCGCTCGTGTCCAGCTCCGCCCCTTTCCTCGCAAAAGCTGCTCTCGGCAGCACTGCTGTGTGCCTGACTTGCTGGATGCGGCCACACGTCTGAGACGATGTCACCACACGTGACACGTGGGGCCTGAGTCGTCCCCTGGGACCTCCATGATGGCGTCCGACCTCAGGGTTGAACCCGCTACCGATTCGCACGAGACGGGCGGCCCCCACTGCATGCGCTGTGATGGGGGGAACCGCCTCACCGGCTGTGCTTGCGCCAGCCTCCCCCGCGTGCCTGCCTGGACTGGCTCCCTCGGGGAAGGGGCGGGACCGTTGCAGCTGGACAAGCGTGGCTAAAGCGATCACACTCCACCTTGTCCCGAGCTGAGCGGGTGCAGAGAGAACATAGAAATGGACCAGTGACACCTCTCCCCGCATCTCGCATCACAAATGTCACGGGGCAGTAGAGTACCAGAACACCAGAGTGCCCTCCTCTTCTTCATGCCTCAGTGGGGTGAGGGCCGGTTTGTTACTAAGTTACTAATAAACGGAGTGAATAAGCTAACTGGTAGGATTTTTAAATGTTGAAATAATGTTTTAAAGTATAACTCGACAAGATAAGTGCAGATCTTCTGTTAGGCCTCTTCGCTTCCCTAGCGCCCTGGAAAGACGCAGCTCAGGATGCAGCTCCCAGGGCGAGGCCCATGTTCCGACGTACCTCGTCTGCCCATTAGCGGGGCTGGAACAGGCCGCGGCCCCCACAGAGCCCCCCTCAAGCACACGCGCCTGCGAAGGCGGTGCCGTCACTCAACACACGCAGTCCTCACACAGCCCCCATCCCCCCAAGTTCTGGAGCCCCCCCCCCACCCCACCCGGTATGCTGTGCCCACAGACTCCCCCAGGAGGATCTCTGGTGGTTCTCCTCCTATGTCCGCCAGCAGGGTCCGGAATGTTACGTCCAGAGATGCGGAGTTTCACCCAGACTCCGGGAGTGCAGGTCACGGCATGGGGGGGTCCCCAGGACTCTTCCCCGTGGGGGTGCTGCCGATGGAGCGGCGCAGGGCGCGGTGAAGAGGAAACACCCCCGGCAGACACAGCAGGAGTCCCGGAGCAGTGCACAGGGCTTGACGGAGGGGGCTCCGTGGGTGTTCCCGGGACGAGATGCCGTGGACCAGGGCGCGCGTCTGCAGGGGCTGAGCACCGTGTGAGGGCGGGACACGGGGCCCCGGCGTGGAGCCGCCTGCACGGCCCGTGAGGTGACACTCCCAGGGGACCTCTTAACCGTCGGTCCTCTAACGAGCCTTAGCCACATGGACGCCTCCGTCCCTGGACACCAGGGTCGTCGCAGTGGGGCGTGGCGCCCCACTCTGTGGGAACTGCAGGCGGTGTGAGGGGTGACGTCGCACACTGACCGTTACTTGCTCAGGGTTGCCAGTCCCGCCGGTGCTGGGGGGACTCCCACACCGCTGAGAAGTCTGGGGTCACTTCGATCTCTCCTGCCCTTGATCTTTCTCCTCCTGAAGCCTTCAGGGAGTCCCGCCTTTGTGTCCGGTGGACACGTCCCGTGGAGCCCGGGGAGGGGGTGGTGACAGATGGCCTTCCCACCACCCACCTTAGGGCCTGCGTGGAGTTCGGAACCACTCGGCAAACGTGTGGACTGGTCGGACGGGGCGAACTGGGGGTGGTCCAGCCCCGCTCCCCTCTGCAGAGACGCCGCCGTCTCCTCGGCACGCCGGTCACAGCTGCGCTCGGGCCTGTCGCAGGTTTTCTGTCTTTTTAGTTTAAATTGTAGGCGTTAAACAGTTTAAGAAGTAATTTATTCAGTAAGTGTTCAGGATACCAGGGAAAGACCTGAACCAAACGTGCAGACCGGGGCTGTCATCCTCCGGGGCTGTGCACCTTGCTGGCGGGAGGCAGCGCTGTCACTTGCTGCGCGGCCGGCTGAAGTGGCCCCACTCGGGGAAATGCGCGCACGTGCTGAGCCCGCAGGGGAGGCCCCGTGGCAGGAGAAGCCAGAGCCCGGGCGGCCGGGGTGGCCCTGGCCTCCCTCAGGGATACATCAGGGCACCCCCTACCCCACCCCCCTGCCCCGTGCGGTCCTCCAGGCGGCCCCAGACTGTGGGGAGCGGCGCCGTGGGCCGGGCCCCTGCACTGCATGGCCCAGACGTGGGGTCTGGCCTGCCGTTCCAGCCCTGCTGCCCTGCGGGCCCCTCTCCGCGGGGCGCCTCCCTCCTCTGGCCTTGCCACCACTGGGAAGCCTTCCCTTCCCTGCCCTGGCCACTAACAGCTGCTTCCTTTGAACCTGTGATGCTGTTTTACTTCTTTTCCTTCTCTTTTCTTCAGCATTGAGGTTCTTTTTGTGAATGGTTTTTCTCCTCTGGTGGCCTGTGGTTTTGCTCGGGCCCTCATCCCTCCTGGTCTCTGCCGCGCAGAGCAGCGCCTTGGGGAGGGCAGGTGTGCAGGCCCCCCCCAGCTGACCCCTGTCCTCGGGCCCTGCAGCCCTGCAGCCCTGCAGCCCTGCACGTAGCTCAGGTGTCCTCGGCTCCCGGGGACAGCCGCCCCCACGACATGCTGCTGCGGGGGCCAAGGAGCTCGGCTGCAGGACCTGAGGCCCCGCGCGGGTGGGGTCCCGGGACGTGCCCCCCGGATGAGGGTCTCCGTCTCCGCGTGGGCTCTTTGTGTCGGTCATGGGTCCGCAAGCCAGTCCCCTGCAGCAGCTGGGAGACACGCGAGGTTCTCTGAAAGTCAAGCGGTGGCCTCAGTCCTTTGTTATCTGGCTTTTGTCATTTCATGACAGGCACTAAGCTCTGGTTTAACATTTTTATTACATATGAATAATAGAGTACATATATTGAGGTTTCATAGATGTAATTTTGTTAAATGTACATCATGGTAGATTTAAAAATGAGGGATTTATTTTGTCATTCATAAAGTTGTAATACAGTCTGGAGAAACTATTTGTTAAAAGATAGCATCTACTTAACCTCCTTATTTATTTCTTGTAGGAGAAGGTTAGATCCACAATAAATACACGAAGAAATAAGTAGATAGGGGAATTTATCTTGGAAATAAGATCCCTGTCACGGTTTTGAAATGTTAAATGCATGAAGACCCGTCAAAGAGATATACGGATATGATATTTTTTACAGTGCATTTCAAAGTATTTAGTTATATTTGTCATTCTGTAGTACCAGTAAGCAATGATTGCAAGATACAGTAATTTCAAAGTCAGGCTGAGTCAGTGGGTGTAAGTACGGCGTCTCACATTTTAGAGAGATATTAATTGGCAATTTTAATATTAATGAAGCACTTAAAATATTTTATATGACAGATCTGAAATATCTAGGAATGTTTACTTCTGTTGCATTTAAGATCTAATGTTATGAAAATACAAATACAGATAGCAAATTAAGAGGAGTTTTTATAAAAGGTAATTTCATAACTTGATTAATAGGAATTTGTGAAATTCTGAATGATCAATCTGGTTAAAATAATCCGCATCTGCCCCCAAATGAGGAGTTAATTATTTGGATCTTGGGATTCTGTGTCTACCTTTATGAGATGAAGGAAGTTTATAAAAGCATAGTGAAGGCCTCTATCCTAAGGATACATTCTCTCTCCACCTCCATATTTATATCACCGTTTAAAACAGATATCGCAACCCTGTTTTTAATTGCATCAACTTGCTAAATGTATAGACCAATTTATGATAGTCGAATCAAGCTCCTGTAGTCCCCCTTTTGTGGCACAGTGCTTATCAACTCACTAAAATATTGTAGTTTTGAATATTGGGTTTTAAGTTGCTCTTATTTGGCTGTTCATTATCCTGAATTAATTAGCTGGACACCGCTTTATTAGGTACAGGGATGGCTTTAACCTACGTTGTATTGGAAATAAAAGGCAAATTCAGCAAGGGTTTTGCGAAGACAAGTGGAGAGAGACGGAGGCGTAGCCAGAAGGAACAGCCGCGTTTTTGTCTGTGGTTGCGTCGCCCCGAGCGTTGGCGGCGTCTGTTGTGCCTGTGGGCTGCGGGCCGAAACGTGGTCCGGTGTGCGGTGTGTGTGCTGCTCTGCTGTCCTCGGGCCTTTCTTCACATAGGGAACAACTGAGGCTTGCTGTTCTCAAAGGCTTGTTTGACTGCGGGCTGCGGTTTTATGTTTATTCTCATCAAAGTCAACTTTCCATGCAGCCGTGCGGTGGCTCAGAAGGACCCCCGGCGCGGTGGCGCCCCCGGAGCCCTGCCCCGGGCTCGGAGCGGGCGGCCGCCCTGCGGCCCGGCGCCGGCACCCGGCTCCCACCCGCGGCGGCGGCCGTGCCGCAGACAGGGCCTGTCTGAGCAGTTTAGTGCGGACGGCTTTTCATTTAGCCTCTGCTCTGACAGCCCGCGCCCTGGATAAGTGGCGTCGGCCCGCGCAGGTGAAATCTATTCTCACATTTGCCTCAGGGGTGACTGGACTGTAACAGAATTTTTCAAACCCGTTGGGCCCAACCGCAAAGCAGAGAATAAATGGCTGGAGTGCCAGGTCTCGACAGCAAAATCAATGCCTGCTTATACAGACATGACAGACCGGGCCTGCGGCTCCCCGCGCCCGCCGCGCCGCGGGGCCCTGGCCGGCCGCCCTCGGGGCCGGGGGGCCGCGCTGACACCGTGTCTTCTGCCCCCCCGCAGGAAGTTCACGTGCCACCTGTGTGACCGAAGTTTCACCGAGAAGTGGGCGCTCAACAACCACATGAAGCTGCACACGGGGGAGAAGCCCTTCAAGTGCACCTGGCCCACGTGCCACTACTCCTTCCTCACCGCCTCGGCCATGAAGGACCACTACCGGACCCACACAGGTGCGCCGGCCTGCCCTCGGGGCGGGGGGGGGGCTGGGGCGCAGCACGTGGGGGGCCCTGCGTGCGAGGGGCCGTGCAGCGCACGCGCCTGGGCTTCAGCAGAGTGAGTTTCCTCGGCAGGAGCTCCTCTCCGTCGGGTGTGCACATGTGTGTACATGTGTGTGTGTGTATGTGTGTGTGTGGTGAAACACACCTTTGTAGGTGGGGTCTCCATGGAGGGCGTGGGGGCAGAACACACTCATCTTGCCTTTTGTCACTCAGACAAACTCGGCACCATCACATTTTTGAACAGCATTAAACCTTGATTCTCTAGACCATTTACTAGTTTTTCATCCAGTCAATATTTCTCTTAAGAGGTGAACACTCTGATTTAAGAATTTTTGACAAGTTATGCAGAGACTCATCTGAATGCAGCCACTATAAAGTTTTAGGTAATAACGTATTTAGAAGAGTACAAATTCATTTATACTTTATATGAGAACGTTTCAAGACCACACGGAGTTGGAGCACACTGGTGGAGAGCAGCACCCCGTGTGCGCCTGCATGGGGCGCGGCTCGCCGTGCGCTCAGTGTCCGTGGCTTGTTTTTGTCACCTCAGGACGGGGACCCCGACCCCCCCCAGTGCGCCCCCCTGCCCCAGCGCGGTGGCACTGAGAGCTGCCTGGTGTTTCGGGGTCTTTTTCACACCTCTGAGGAAGGATCGTATTTCAAGGAAGAAAATAAATTTTAATCAGCATTCCCAAATGTTCTTCTGATTGCCAAGAATCCTCTATTATTGTTAGAAATTATAGGTTCAAAGTTCTCGGGGAGCCGTGTGTGGAAGCCGGGCCTCCTTAGGTCCCCTGACAAGGGCGTTGACGATTTAAGGTCTCCAGCCTGCCCTGAGAGATCACTTATATCGAACAGCAGATGAAAAGCCAGTGCAGATGTAATTTATCGTCGGCGTTTCCTTCTAAAGAATAATTGTGGAGACTTGGCTGGATCAATAATATGGATTTTTGTTGTTAGGTCTTGTAGTCTGCACCATAATGAGAGATAGGGGACAGTGGCTGTTTTCTAATAGAAAATAAGGGATTGGTTTCCATGTCTTTGTGCATTTGAATGCGAAATGGCACATGTGAAACTAATCCAAGTTGTTGAGGAAAGTCTCCTGCTGCTGTACCTCTGCCGTCGTGTAAATATGGCGTGTTCCGTGAACCCCCTTCACGCGGGGTGGAATATTACATTTAGTTTTTTTCTTCTTAAAATTTGTTCTTGAAAAATACTCTGTGCCTCCCTCACCAACACTAGACCCCCAGCCCCTCAAAAAAAAAAAAGGCGAGTGAAAACTGACCACAGCGTGACAGACCCCCCGAGCCGCCACGGCACACTCACCACAGGACCCTGCAGACCGACACGCTGCGGCAGAGCCTGCGCGTCGGAACTCAAGGTCACCCCCACTCCCAGGGCCAGGTCCCGCGCAGCCGCGGCACGGCCCTCGTGCCAGGGCACACGCGTGTGGCACACGCACCGGACGGAGCCCCGTCGCAGGGGTCTCCTGGGTCAGGGGTGCTCCCGCCGTGTGAGGACAGGGCAGGCTGCAGAGTCCACCGCAGGGGGGAGGGAGGGGTCAGTCTCCTCCGGGGCCGGGAGCAGGGGAGACGCTCCAGCGTTGGCTCCGCCGCCACACGCTGCCAGGTGTGCATGCGTGTGCGCGCAGGCCTGTGTGTGTGTGTGTGCACCGGCACACACGGTGGCAGCGAGGGGCAGATCACGGAGCAGGGCTGGGCCTCGACGTAGAGCCGCGTGCTGGTATCAGTGAGCAGATTACCTTCGGGGACTCAAAAATTCTGCGTTCGGTGTTACTGAATTGATAATACAGCTGGTTAGAAAGATTTATGTTTCTAATTGATTAAGTGATTACATGAGTGATTACAATTAAACTTTATTCTTCACAGCCCATCTCCTCTAGTCCTTTCTTCTGTATTGGAATAGTGATGTCAAGAAATAAACTTAACCCCAAGATAGGAAAGTAAAGATAGGTAAATGTTTAAACTTAGCTTTATTTTATAGATGATAGTAATGCGCATTTCAACATGCCCCTGTGAGGTAAGATGAAACATAACTTGGTTAAACCTCTCTTTATTAACACACGTTCACCGGAGCTAGAAAAGCTAGGCGTGCTCCTGAAGGGAAGGCCTTTCTGAGTTCCCGACTGGCCCCCCTGCCCTCTCGCAGGCACTGCTGTCTGTGAGCTGCCGCAGGCGCCGCCTGCTCCCAGCCCCCGGGCCAGGGCTCCGCTGTGACGGGCCCATGCGTTGGGGGCGAAGCCGGCCGACGCGGGCCCTTGCAGGCTTGTTGCAGGCACACGTCCGAATGAGTCAAGTAGATACAGCGAGGTTGGAGTGATTGATCTCATTTTTGGAAAGCCGTTGTCTAATGTCAGTGGCTCCCTCCAAGGTTAGCGTTTTTATTCTCGCTGGCCCTGCCTCGCGAGCCTTGTGGGACACGCCGCCCGGCGTGCCGGCACTTACTGTCCAAACACGCGGCAGCGGAGAGACAGATGGCGCTTATAACAGGTCGGGCGAGTGTTAGCTGGTGTACAAATGCTTTCACGATGAGCGTGCGTGCACACGCGTTCAACCGACCCCGAGTCTGCGGAGTCTGTCTAATTGCTGCAGAGCTTTCCGGTCCCCAGTCACCACTGAAGATGAAGGAGGGGCGTCTCTGTGCCGTTTCCTTCGCGCCGCGCGGCTCCCGTGTCTGTGCCCTGGGAGCTGGAGCAGCAGCAGCAGCAGGGGCGTCGAACCACTGTGGGTGCCGAGGAGGGGAGGTTGTTTTGTTACTGGGGACCCTCTGTGTGTTCGTGGAGACCATTTAATTCGCGTTATTAAGTAGGGAGTTATTCAAGAAGGCTCTGATAGAATCAGGTAAAACCAATTCAGTGTCCTCCAGCAGTTAGACAATCCAATAGGCTTTATTTAAGCAGAATCATATATACTGTATATTAACTATTCCGAGCAATCTTTACTCAGCTCAGAAAGGCCAGATGTATGGGAATTGTAAAAAATCAGGATATGTATAAAAACTGTTCAAGTGCATAAAGCAGCCCCATCTGGAAGACATCCACCAGAAATGAAGTTGTACAAAACCATTCCATTGATAATAAAGCTAATTTTTATGGGTCTGACAAGTATGTAATTATGTTCAGTGGTGCTTTTCAGATTTTATCACAGTCAATAAACCGCAGTGGTAATTTCATTCCCATTTGACATATTTACATGGAAACATTTGATTGGAGGAATTAGTAACCCTGAAAGCCTTGATAGATCTGTTTTAATGATCTGTGACCCCGTGGTCCCTCATGTGTTTGTCGTCGCAACAGGCGAGAAGTCGTTCCTGTGCGACCTCTGCGGCTTCGCCGGCGGGACGCGGCACGCCCTCACCAAGCACCGCCGGCAGCACACAGGTGAGTGCGCCCAGCCCCTCCGTTTGCCCGCGGCCCTGGGTCTGGGGGCGCACCGAGAGTCCCGGGTGGCTGCCGTGAGGCCCCCGCTCATCCGAATTCATGTCAGAGACCCGGCCCGCTGCACGGGGGCCAGGTGTCCTCCGTGAGCTCGTGCTGGCCTGGAGGGAGAAGGGCGGGGCCTCCGGAGCAGACGCAGCACGGGCTCCTGCAGAGGCCGGCTCTGCCTGGGCCTCGCAGGGGGCGCCGGGGGCCGCGCTCCGCTCAGGCCCCCTCTCAGTCCACCTCCCACGCCCCCCGGGACCAGAGTCGCTGCAGACCCAGAGAGAAGTCTCCCATGGTGAGTGGGGACTGGGAACACAGACTTGACTCTGTGCACGCAGCAGTGCACGCAGGGTCCCCAGCAGCAGCGGCCGCGGCCCTGCGGCGTTAGCCCAGCGACCGGCCGTGGGGACAGTCACGCTGTGATCGCAGGTGTTCACGGGGCTCGACCAGGGCCAGCCGAGCGGGCAGCTTTCTCCTTGACGTCAGGCCCAGGGGCTCCTCGCTACTCTGCTGTGAACTTGACCCCGTATCGGACAGTGTCTCCCAGACAGAGGCGTCTGTCGTTTTGGCATTTGTCTGCCACTGTGGCACAAGTCACACGTGACCCTTTAATACCAAAGCCAGTTCTGGAGACTGTTTGCTTCAGCCAAACAACTCGGCACAGCTCAGTCCAGGCCCTTAGCTCCCTGTCCTGGACCTCTGAAATGTAAGCGGCACGCGGCTTCTCCCCCAAGGCCGGCTCCGAACGGTGCAGCTGAAATCTGTATTTCTCTGCCGCGCTCCTCTTTGACACGGTTTGCCTTTTCACCACGGACAGCGCACGCAGGTTACACTCAGCGGGGGAGGGCAGGTGCCAGCGTGTTCCAGGCGGCGTCAGTCACTCCCTCCTGCGGTGCTGCTGTCTGGGGGCTGACTCGGAGCCTGCCTCAGCCCGAGACTCACTTTTGTCAGCTGTCAGAGACCCTCGCCTCCAGGGCCCAGGAGCAGGTCCTCACGTGGGGTTGGAGGGCCTCGGCCGGCGCCGCGCCGCCCGCCCGGAGGGACAGCACGCGGGCGCAGGCAGGCAGGGGCGCGTGCAGCTGTCCGACAGCTCCTGACACTCCGGGCCGCTCGGCCCTGCGTTCTGGTGCCCCCCCATCTTCCCCGGACTCCGGCAGAGGAGCCGGAGGCGTGGACTGTTCCTCCGTGGCTACCTCGGCCGAGATGACCGCCCACGGGAAAAGGAGTGAAGCCCACCTGCCGCCCCCCCGTTCTGCGCCTGGGACGGGCCGCACTCAGCTCCTGCCGTTCAGGGGCCGTCCTGTCCCGCCTCCGGATTGACGCGGCAGGCGGGCTCCGCCGTGACGAAGGGGTCACGGGGCCAGTCCCAGGGCACCCAGCAAAGCTGACTGCGCCCCGGAGTTTCCTTTCACCGGGGGTGAGCACTCTCCAGAGGGGGCTGCCTCCTGCCGGTGCTGGCGGGTGGCAGGGAGCTGAAACCCGCCCCCCCTCCCCCCACGCCTGTGAGGCCTGCTCTCACCGCTTGCTGTCCATGCGTTGGGTTTGCTCTTCTCGTTTCGTCTGTGCATTGAAACCAGCAAACAAGGAAGCACGGCTGCATTCCTGAAGTGCATTTCCTGAAGAAACGGTAATTTCTGGCTAAAAAAAAAAAAGGCCAGTTACCACGTTCAAGCGGCTGTGTCAAGCACGCCCCAGAACGGACGTGCCGCACACGAACTGCCTGAGCGCGCTGCACCCGTGGGAGCTGACGCTGCGCGCCCGTCCGGGGCCTGCTGGAGCCGCCCCACTCAGCGGCGGCCGTGCCCCAGCGGCGCTGGCTGCCCGCGTGCGAGCCCGCCCTGCTCACCACCGCACACTCCGATCCCCGCCGCTGTCCAGTCGGATAGTAGTGCACGGTGCTCAGGGCACTGCAGTGTTACGCTAGCTCAGTGTGAGCTTCAGATGAACAGAGTTACAGAGAAGACAGTAAAGGACATCATTCTTTAAAAGTGTCGTTTTAAAATTTAACTTGTATGACATAAAAGTGCCGTTGGTTTAAATGAAAGGAACATCCGTCATGTTTTTTGAGTCCTCGTGTTAAGCCTCCAAACCAAGAAAGTTACCTTTGGAGGGTTTGCATGGCCTTCAGTTTGCACCCCCGACTCCGGCGAGGTGTCTGGCACAGGTCCCCATCTGCCCCCCTCCCTTCCTCACCTGTCAGGGGCGCGGCAGGTGGGTGCCGTCCCCCACGGCCGCGGGGCAGACACGTCCGCAGCGAGTCATGGTGTCAGGGCGTTGTCAAAACTGCGGCCAAGTGAGTGAGGAAACCTTGGACTGTGTTTGTGGATTGGCTTAATTTAAAAAGTCTTCAAATTGTCTGACCACTTGGATTCGCTGTGTTAGAAGGGGGTGATTTGCGCCCCTCCCCTGAAGGCTCCCGGAGCTGCTGTAATCGTGACAGCACTGGGGGGCGCGCGGACCGACCAGCCTGGCACGGAAGCGCTGTGGCACTCCAAGAAGCAGATTTTTTTGCCAGTCTATTGGGCTGACCAAAAAGTCTGTTTATTTTTTTCCGTAAAGTAAAAGACAGATTTTCCATTTCACCAGTACTTTATGGATTTGGGTGTTTTGAGTATGTCGGCTGTCTCCTGTGTGGTAGAACACTGATTGTTCTCTGTTAACGTCTCGGTTTGACTGCCGTCAGCTTCAGCCGGTCCACCCGGCCGTGGGGCATCGTCCACGGAGAAATCCCCAGCACGCAACTGCGCGAACCACTCGTGACACGTTTGATCACTCACAGCACCTTCTTCACGCACTGCACAAGTCTTTTTCTGTGCTTCAGCTGTGTTCTTACCTTTCCTGAAATAAAGCATACTATGCCGAAAACGTTTATTTTCTTCCATCTTCAATATTAACATGGCTACACAAAAATTCACCAATTTTGATATGTTTTTTTTTTAATGCGGGCTATGACAGCTGTCAAAATACAATAACAAAATTGTTTCAGTCGATGTTAAAGACAGCTAAGCACTATCAGAGCCATCTTTCAGAAAAAACTAAATTTTTTGGCCAACCCAGTACACCCAAATTATTTCAACATGATGTCAGTATAACATTATGATCAAAACTTCGTTATTTTGTGTTCTAAGAGTTTGAGATGGGTGTGTATTTACACTTCTGGCACCTGCCCACCCAGAGGCTAAGTTTTCACCTGAAATCCATGATCTGCATGCGTTTGCGGCTGATACAATCTACTTCCCATTCCGAAGCTTCCCACACGACTGAAACATTGTTTCACTAGGTGAATCCAGTATCCACCTTAAAACCCAAGTTTACGTTAATTGAAGTGAAATGGCCGCCTTTCAAGTGCTCACCAGCCAGTGTAGCCAGTGGAACTCTTTGAATGTGTGTGGGCAGGGAGGCAGGTAAGGGGCAGGAAGCGCCGGCGCAGGGCCAGCGGGGAGTCCTGTGCGAGCCGTGGACCGACTCCCGATAAAGCGCGTCTGTAGGTGGAGCCCAGTGGGGGGTGGGGGGCACCAGGAGTGCTGTGAGATGCTGTTTTAAATGTTTCTTTGAAGCTTCTGTGCCTTTGGTTCAACTTAGTGAGCTGTAATTTCTCTTACTTCTCACAGCGTTTTAATTGGTATCAACTTAGAGCTTTATTGTATTTTCTTATTTAAAATCCTAGTAAGTTTTATACTGTATATTCAAAGCATGTCTTTGATGAATGCTTCTCCCTGGTTGCACCCTCACTGAGATTTTTATAATGTCCCTGCTGTAACATAGTTTGTCAGACGTCTCCAAATACAGTGCCGGCCAAAGCCGTAATCTAGACTCCTGTTTGCACGAGCTACATTGGAACTGCGGAGCGTGCACCATTCTCCTGTTACAACACAGAAATAAAAATCGGTGGTGCCTTCCTTCTCATGCTGAGAGAAAACACTGAAATGACCCCAATACGAGTAGTCCATCGAACTGCGTTACGAACATTTCACGGACACGAGTTTCTCTTTCGTCGTCAATAGCAGGCTTAGCCCTCTGTCTCCAGCGCCTGCCCTCGCTCACGCGCCCGCCTCTTGCCGCCCTGCAGGAGAGAAGCCCTTCAAGTGCGACGAGTGCAGCTTCGCCTCCACCACCCAGTCCCACCTGACGCGGCACAAGCGGGTGCACACGGGCGAGAAGCCCTACCGGTGCCCCTGGTGCGACTACAGGTAAGGGCTCCTTCCGGGGTGGGGCGGGGGCGGGCGGCCCCCGGGGCCACGGCAGCCACGGGGACCCACCGAGTCGCTCGTCCGACCGGCTGAAGTCAGCGCGGATTAACAGTGACTCGCTGGTCGGTTTGGGGGTTCACTTGACCGCCCAGGTTTAGCGACTGTTTCTGAAATTGAAAAATTCTCCGTTTGTTACATTCTTTACGTTTAGGTTTCGTCTTCTTTGGGCACACCCGAATTTCAGGTGGTTTTCCTTCTGTGCCAAAGCGAGCAGCCGCCTCAGTTTCTCAGCCCAGTGGCGTCTCGCCTGGGAGGAGCAGCGAGACACTCGCCCCGGCAGTGGGGGCGGCACTGGACACTCTCCCTGCCCTTGAGGGGACCCCGGCAGGACAGGTGGCCGGTCCTGTGCAGAAGCGATTGTAACGCAGAGCCGCTGGGTGGGTCGCAGAGCTGGGACCTGCATGGAGGAGGGCGGAGTTCAGCGGGACACAGCCCCCAGGGTTCGCGAGTGTCCCCGCCCAGGCCGAAGGGGCGGGTGAGCTTCAGGCATGCGGACGTGCTGCGTGCGCCCCAGTGTCCTGGCCCAGGGCGGCCCTTCCGTGCCCCAGTGCGGGAGGTCGCGTGTGCTCGTGAGGCCCGCGGGGCCCAGCAGTCCCCTCCAGCCTGTGGTGCTGGTGGTCGGCGGCGGCAGCGCAGAGGCACAGAGAGGAGGAGGCGGCCGACCGCGGCCACCTCTGTGGCAGCGTGTGTGCGGGAGGGCAGAGGGCAGAGGGACGGCGGCCGGGGAGTGAGGGCGCACGGGAGCCGGGGCCTGAGGTCGGAGCCCACGAGGGTCGGAGATGCCTCGGCATGTGCAGGCGTGTGCCTGACGCCTCTCCTAGACGCCTCGCCATCCCGGGGCGGGGCCTGAGTCGGAGGGGGCGTCCTCACGCGGGAGCTGGAGCCCGCGCGGCGGCGGTGCTCCTCGAGCTGCGGGGCCCTGCGCTGCCGCCCGGGCCGCGGTGCGGCGCCGGCCTCCGCGGGCCTCCGGACGTCGTCAGTGCTCGGTAAATATATTGCCGTAATCTCCGTTATTATCCTCATTACTGCATTAAGTTGTATTTTAAAGGTCATCCAATAGAACAGAGATATTACAGATATATTTCATTCATTAATTATTCATTCTTTCAACATTTTACGAGTTGTGTCTTTGCCTAACACTCGCGTGGTGCTTCTCGAAGTTCGGAGAAGGGTGATGCGGTTAGAGGCCGGCCTGGAAATTCTGAGGCTCCGATAGCGTGAGTTATTTGAAAAACAAGCGTTATCGAAGGTTCTTTTTTCTTATTAAAGAGGCTGTACTGTGTAGTTGCCTTCCCTATAAAACGTACAGAAGAAATTACAAAGTTGTGGAAACTTCCCTTAAACACCACTTGCAGCTGTTAGGGTTGTCTTCCCAGGCCGTGTTCGTGCGCGAGGTTCGAGTTGGTGTTTGGGGCCCCCCCACCCTTATCAGTTGTGCAGATTTAAATGACAACCACCCCCCTGTCCCGCTTCTCTCCTGCACCTGTGGCTGGAAAGCGTTATTTCTGAGGAGCAGAACTGTTACTGCAAGCCGGACCCTGAGCAGGCCGCGTGTGAGCCCGGCCTGAGAGCTGCCTCCCGCAGCAGGCGGGCTCCGGAGGCGGGTCCCGGGGCTCACGCAGGGCCCGGGAGTGCGCTGGGCCAGACGGCTTTCTCGGGCAGAGGTTCGGGGTGGGGGGGTTGTGGCAGTGGCGGTTGGCTGCCAGGCCACAGGAGGGCCCGTCACCCAGGGCGTCACCCCTCTCAGGGGCCCCTCTGCCTCTGCAGAGACGGGTCCCCATGAGAGGGGGAACTTCGGGGTCAGTGTGCAGTGCCAGCGGGAGCCCGCCGCACGCACCCCAACGGCAGCAGGCCACGCTGTGGCGGGTCTCCCTGAGGGCTGGTGGGGGTGCAGTGTGGGTAGAATAGGTGCCCCAGCGGATCTGTTTCGTTTTTGAAGTTGTTACAATGTTACCGAATTCAAAGTGGATTGCTGGGTAACTCCTGTGAAATACCCTAGAGTTCCCAGGTGCCTGGTCTGCACACTGCTCTCCTGGAGTGCAGCGTTAAGACTCGCGTGGCCTCCAGTGGCAGTGATAAACAGGGGTCACTTCACTAAACTTTTAGACATTTAAGCCATTTTCAGGTTTTTACTAGAAGCATGCTTATTTCTAACAAAACTTTTGTTCCCGTCCATGATTTTTTGGAAGAAACTCCTCCAAGTGTGATCTAAGACTTTCAGGAAGCAGCATTGCCGCAGAGGCCGGGGCTGACTCTCGTCCCGCAGGTCGTTTCGGGGCCGTGTTGCAGCGGACTCGCGCCCTTGTCGGGGCGTCCTTGGTGTGCAGGTGCACTGCTCCTCTGCGGAGGCCGAGGTTGCGTCACCTGGGCGCGTTCAGGTGGCCTCCCTGGGACAGCGTCCCTGTGCCGGGGAGAGAGCTGGGGCCACCGGCCCCGGGGCACCGCTGTGGAGAGAGACCGCGTCCCCCTAGAGTGCCGTCCCCGCCCTTCCAGGCGGTGCTCAGGACACGTGAGTCCAGTGGTCTCTGCCGGAGCCCCTCCAAAATGCTTCCAGTCTTGGAGGACGGGCTGATTTTATCTGTGCTGAACACCTTTAAATACCTTGATTGCTAGTGAAGTGAAGATCGGCACGTTTTCTGTTTGTGTGAGTTCTGCCACTCTGTGCCCGTGCGGTTGGCCTGTGCTCTCTAGTGACCAGGAGACGAGTTAACTTTGACCAGGAGCACAGAAAACGCGCAGACTCTGTGAGGGCTCCCTGAGTTAGGGGTTTTGAATGGAATGTGGAATTTACAGCACACACCCGTGTTCTCTCGTTGATGAGCAAAGTACTAAAGATGAGCAGCTAGTGCAGTCCACAGGGGTCGTCCCCGTGGCACCGCACAGCAGAGGGCTCGCCTCGCACACGAGAACAAAGGAGGCGTCTTCTCCCCGGGTACAGTGCATCCGAGTGTGCGCGAAAATACCTGTGACGTGACCGCACGTTCTCGGAGAAGATTACATGTGTGTCTTGGCACCTTTCTGTAATATTTTACTGCTTAAAATATTTCATTAACTTTTCCCCATTTAGGTTTTTATTTATTTAATACATGTGCGTAAAAGTCATGCCTGCAGCGTATTCCTGTCTATGCCGTTATTAACACTTATTTTCAGGTAACTGTCATTAGAAACTGCAGTATTATTTCAATATCATTGGAAAATATATTTTTCATTTTATAAATTGAACATTAGGGGAGAAATACTAGTAGTAATAATTATTCATGAAAAATGTGAATATAGATTTGTTTACAAAAGAATTTTATAATTGGTCCTTTGAACCTGGGGCTATTTTTCAAGTTTGCATTATTAATTTAGGCAATGACATTTCATTCTGTTTAGATGTAAACACGCACCCCTTCCTTAAGCTTTTACTGTCTAAAATATCCAAAAGTCTAATCCATTACAAATCAGTATATTTCATCACTGCTCCAAAATTTTTTCACCATTAATTATTATTCATTATAACCTCAAAGCATAAATTGAGATTCATAGCACACTGTCCTATATTATTTATGCAGCAAATTTGTTACATTTGCTTCCACATTAAAATGGAAAGAGCCTAACATTCCCTCTTATTTTTATTTCCCTTTGTTATGTATTGTCACTTCTATATTAACGAGAATAGAGAAGCCTTTACTATGTCGTAGCAAGTGCCCTCTCTAATGATGTAGATCTGTTTCCCCGTAGAATTTATTAGTCTAAGCTGCACCCTGTTCCACCCAGGGCCCTGGCTTCCGCATGATCGCAGGTGGCCCTAATTGGACTTACTTTTTTGTGGATCATCTTCTCCTTGGTGTCCACGTTTCAGTTTAGGATTCATGGAGGAAACACAACAAATTCACATCAAACAGTAAGCGGCCGAGAGGCCATGAAAAGTAACAGAAAACACGTCCTGCAGTGTTGAAAATGCGGAGGGCGACCCTGTGTTGCACTTTCAGTGTTGTTTTGTAAGTTAAAGAGAACTAACCTTTCGAGACGAGTTCCGACCACTGGGCCATGGAGGTATCGCGCCCTCGTGATGGGTCTGGGGATAGCCCGGCGCTCGAAGGCTGCTTTTGGCCAGATCTTTTCCTCAGCCGCCTTAGCACTTCCAACCATGCACACGCTCTCTAAAAACTTTCTTTCACTGCGTTCCTTTTCAGCTTACTCGCTCTTTCTGTTCTCCTTTTAATTACTTGGAATTATAGCCCCAAATAGAAACATGTTACAGAGCTGAGGAGTGAAATCTGTAATTCCTGCCCTGTAGTGAATATGTACTCCATTGTCTTGCTAGACTCGTAGGAGATGCCCTTTGTTTTTTTTCCTGACTTGATGGTTTACTTAGCTCTTGGCCAGTGCCCACAGAAGTCACTGACACATTAGGTTTTGATTTCAAGAAGAACATTCTTTCCCTTTTTTGGTGAATGTAACATTTAGTCCAGGTGTGGTACCAACTAGGAATTTGCTTTTTGTGGTACATTCTAACATCTAAATATTTTGTTCTGTATTTTTTACGGCTGTTTCCACTCATCTGAGTGCCGTGGGTAGAATACACTGTTCACCACACCCATCTGAAGTGTGTGTGCGTGTGCGCAGCCTGGAAAACTTCTGTCAAATGACACCTTTAATTGAACTGAATTCTGCCTTAACTTTGCAAGGTGCGGGAAGCACTTCAGCGATAGTGTTAAGATGTAAGGCCAAAAGGCTGTACTTGCAGTGAGTCTCTGTTTCCCCTTTAACAGTTTATATAACCTCCTCAAACACACGCTTCCGTGAAGTGTCTCAGTTCTGGAGGTTTTTCAGGTGTCAGCTGGCACTGCGCGGCTCCACGTAACGCACAGCACAGCGCTGTGTGTGTGTGTTACACGCCAGGCCCCCGAGGGCGGGCTTTCCCGGGTGCTGCAGCAGCAGGAGCTCGCTGCGGG